AGGCAATCTGGTGCCAGCCGCCCTGCCCGTCCGATAGAGCATTGGTGAGTCATGTTCCCACCTCTGTCAGGACCCGGGGCGCCCGCGAGGGTGCAAGGGTACCAAAGCATCCGGCAGATGCTTGGGAGTCGTCGACGTATATGACGACTCCAAGGATGTTTGTGATGGTGGCCGCGCCCAGAAGAGGCGTCGGCCAAGTGGGTAACTTAGGTCCACAGGCGGGTAACTTAGTTCCGCAGACAGCTGCAGCTGTCATGAACACTGAGAACAGCGTGTTCAGAGTCGGCAACCCAGGAGACGACACAACGCCCGAACCCAAAGTTGACGTCGCAGCTGCAGCAGTTGTCACTGTCTGCTTCTGTTCAGCCTTCTCCACAGCAATAGGAGTTATTTCCTGTCGCTCAGCCATCTGCTCAAACTCGTTCTCCTCCTCCTCGACGCCCAGCTTCTCATCCGCTTTCTTCTTTAGCTTCTCCACCAGGTATGACTCGTCCTTGCCGGCAAAGTACGTGTACAGTCCGTTGCCCAGTACTACAGCAAAAACGACCCAGTATATACGCATAGGCATAGATACAGGCTGGTGAGAGCGGTCTCCCCAATCTGAACCAATGATACGCGCAACCGTCGAGTCCAGCTCCGCCTCATGCTTGTCAGCGCCGTAACCTTTGGTTACACGCACAGTTCCAAAACGTCGTGGAGCGGATCGACGCGCTCACAGTCTGCTTAGAGACATCGCCAGTGCTACTGGAGGACGAGGATTTTGAGCTGCTGCTCCATCGCCGCCCACGCACGCGACCACCGAGACGCTGCACTCGACGATACATCTGGAAGTGAAGGGCTGGGAGTAAAGTGTATCTATGTTCTATTATTGTTTCAAACCTCTCTACAAGAGCAGTTCCAGGTGTACTGAATCTCATCAGTGCCCCCCAATCTCCGACCGAAGCTAAAGTACTGAGACTAATGGTGAGCTCCGAGGAAGTCACCACAGCTCCGGCCCCGAAGCTGTCAGCCCTAGCAGCAGACTCGTCGGCCCCAAAGCTGCCAGCAGCGAAGCCGTCAGTGCCTACTACAGCTCTAAAAGCAGACCCGTCGGCCCCAACGCCGCCAGCACCGAGGCCGGCAGTTCTAGCAGCAGAACCGTCGGCTCCGAAGCCGCCACCACCGAAGCCGTCGGCCCCGAAGCCATTGGTGCTTGCTTCAGTTCTAGCAGCAGCGTCACAGTATAACCGTCTGGATGAAACGGACCTGAAGACGCCTTATTACGACAGCAAAAGCCTTCTCTGAAGAGCTGAACGACTACGCCCCATGGTCACCTGAAGAAGTAAAGGCCGTCGCGTTCTGGTTCAGCAACGTGTTGGAGGCCAACCGTCGTGCTACGGAATTTGACATCAGTCATGGCACGTCCACGCGCTCAGAATTGCCCCGTCGGTTCTGCATGCAAGACTCAGAGCTGAGTGGAATGCTATTGAAACTATCGAGAGGACGAGATGAAGTCGCGAGGCACGGCAAGCGAAAACTTCACGAGCCGCAGCTAGAAACATCAGACCGACCCCCGTACCGAAGCAATCGTGGAAACAATCGCCAGGTTACGAGCCGCCAAGTCCCGATTACAGTGAACCAGGCAGCTCCTCGCCTGAACGGCAAGCAGCTGTGCCTTCGGTATATATCTGCAAAAGGCTGTCCTTCGAAGGTGTCAGACCGCTGCACATACGACTTTCTGGGCCACTTCACCCCAGATACTCTTGCACCGGTTGTACAAGAGTACGTCGTGGCTACTTTGGCGCTCCTGGGCTCTTTCGTCCGAATCAAGTAGAGGGCTGGAGGGCGGTAACTGAAGCTGTGCATGCAGAAGGCGGTAAGATATTCGCGCAACTTTGGCATACTGGACGTGTGGGCCATCCACTCAACCAGCCAAACGGCCAGCTCCCAGTGTCGTCAAGTGCCACCGCTTTTGACGGCGTGAAGAGCCACGCCGTGACGAGCGAAGGACGCAAAGACTACGTGACACCTCGAGCACTAAACATCTCGGAGATTCCTGGTATAGTTGCTGACTACCAACGCGCTGCAGAGAACGCCATCACTGCAGGGTTTGATGGCGTAGAAGTCCACGCGGGCAACGGATATCTACTGGAGCAATTCCTATGCGACGGCGTGAATAAGCGCACAGATGCGTATGGCGGTAACATCGAAAACCGCGCACGAATTATCTTTGAGGTGCTGGAGGCTGTCCTCTCTGTTGTGTCATCGAGTCGGGTTGGCATTCGTCTGTCCCCTTTCGGTGAGACGTTTGGATGCAAGGACTCAACGCCACGCGAGACGTACGGGTACGTGGTTGCGAGACTAAACGATTACGACCTGGCCTACCTACACGTAATCGAACGGCGTGGTCGCCATGCAGACAGCGTTAACGCCCCAGCGAACGGAGTGGCGCACCACTTCCGCGGCATTTACAATGGAGTTTTAATCGCGGCTGCAGGATTCGACCGCGTCGACGCGATTCGAGTCGTCGAGGATGGCACGACGGATCTGGTTGCCTTCGGTAGATACTTCATCTCGAACCCGGATCTCGTGCAGCGTCTGCGCGTCGATGCAGACCTGAATGCATTCGACCCGAAGACGTTTTACGTGCAGCCGGATACGCCGGTAGAGGCCGGATACACAGATTACCCATTTTTGGGCGAGGAAGACAAGGGCGTTGCGCCCAGCTGGATGCGCCTAGAATAAAATCGAGTTGTATTATCCAGTGCTAACCACTAACCAAAACTACAGTACTACATGTAGTTACTTGAAATGTATTGGCAGCGTTTTTTTTCCTGAAAAATACCACGGCAGTTTAAAAGCTCAGTCTATTGTGATTGTGATCAAAGCTGCAGTTATTACATGTAAAATGTACCCGTATGATACGGCCCCAGTGCTCCAGACAGATCGTTATAGAACAATCTGCCACAAGTATAGGACGGATGTCATCAAAAAAAATTCACTGAAAAACTTCGATGAGGTTTTAAATATGACTGACTTTGACCAAAAATCGATGGCACTGGGGCCGTATCAGGCTTCACGCAGACAATGCGTCTGGATACTAATATTCTTGAAAGCATTTTTATGAGCAAATTGACAAGCTCAGGCAGTTTGAGTAAACTGAAAAGTGCGTAAATATTCTTGTAAAATTTCTACGGATCAAATTTCTACGTACCTTATTCTGAGTTTTGTGTTGCTCCTTACTGATCCATGTAAAACTCAGTGGTGAAGCAACACAGCAGTGTAATTTCAGAGCTTCTCCGTGAAACACGGCTTTGGTTTTTTATGGT